TGGGCAACATGGCGAGACCTTGTCTCTACATAAAAAAAAAAAAAAATTAGCCAGGCGTGGTGGCACACACCTACAGTTCCAGCTATTTGGAAGATTGAGGCGGAAGGATCACCTGAGCCCACTAGGTCAAGGCTGAGGTGGCCATGAGTGTGCCACTGCACTCCAGCCCAGGCGACAGAGTGAGCCTCTGACTCAAAAAAAAAAAAAAAAAAAGGTGGACGATGGAAGATCCTGATGCACCAGCCAAGAATACTGAGGGTCAATCTGTTTGCTTCTCCTCTAGAGTGGAATGCACTTCTGGCATGTACAACATGGATACTGTTTTTCTGACCCTCCAATGGACTTGTAACACACACTTAACATTATAAGCTAACCAGCAGCGGAATATAAGGGAACCCATTAGTGAAACCAAACTGAATTTACTTTGAATCTCTTTAGTTTCATTTCTAGATCTACTAAATCATTTCAAGTAATTCTTGGTTTTGCTATAGGAACTTTGCAAATTCTCTTGAGACCAATTCAAAGGGGTATTCGTTCCAAAATTCAAATGAGACACACACAAAAACAGGGCAAGCTGAAAGCGTGGTAAAGGAAAGAATCTAAATAGTTGTTTCCCTCATTTTTGCTACAACTACTCCTTTCTGAGTTTAGAGATAGGTTACGCCTCAGTTAACTTACTTCATCAATAAAGTTTCCAATTTCATCAGGATTGGCAGGGCGGGGACGATACTGGGGCACACTGAGGAGGGTTGGTGCGACATCATTGCGAGTCACTTCAGGCCTAGCATCCAGGCCCCTGTGCAACTGGCTCAGGTCAAAGTCCTTTGGAGAAAAAGATAAAAGCATCACAAAGAATAAGAAAAAGTCATGTATACAGGGCTACATTTGGTTTATAGATTACAGTATTAGATGCCTTAACTGCCAACTGTGTGATATTTACCAGTGAGTGCCCAACTGAATGTAAAATGCCAGTTTTCAAATTAAACATCTCCCAAATAGCACTGGAAGAAAACATAGTCCAAAAGGATCGTGAGTCACTCTTTTGGGTACAGATATAGGCTGCTGTAGCTTATTAATTTTTTAAAGGACACAATAATCAGATTATTTAGCAAATGTTTGCTTCCTCCCCATCCTAGCCTGTGAGAATGGTACATATCCACTGATGTTCAGTTTTGCCGTGTGACTTGCTTAGCCAATGGAACATTAACACATGTGACACAGGCAAAGGCTTGAAATATACTAGCTTGCTGGTACAGAGATGAGACTTTCATGGAACAGACCTGGGCACAACTCACAGATTAGAGCTATTGTGCTAAACTCTGCCTGTACTTGAGCTCTGGCCATCCTACAGAGACTTGTGAGTCTGAGAACAACAATTGCCCCAAACCCATGAGTGCATGAGAAGGACATGCGTGTTGTTACACCACTGAGAGTCTGGGATTGCTTGGTACTCGGCATTAGCGTGGTAACTATCCACTGATACAACATATCTGGCATTATCCCCCGACCAGACTTTAGCAGGACTATGATAGGTCCCCTGGTTGCCTTTCTAAGTAGACTCTCTAAGACTATAACAGTATCCTAGAAAACTCCAGGGTAAGGAGAGTTAAAGTCATCTCCAAAATCAGGAAATATCAAGGGTCTAAAGATTTCACACCCAAACAAAGCAAAAAACCAGTTTGGTCTAGCTAAAAACTCAAGGTAAACAAAATATTAAAACAAATCAGTTGCTCTATGTCAAAGATCATTGGATTGAAATTCATGTTCTGGAAACAATAAGGAGTAGTACAGGTCTGAGTCAGACTGCTGCCAAGCTTCCTACCTATGTGACCTTGGGCAAGTTCCTGAACTGCTCGGTGACTCAGTTCACCTATCTAGGTGCAGCACAGTATATGATCAATAAATGCTAGCTGTGTTGCTAAAGATGATGATGGCCAATGACAATGTCTCTTTTCTTGGGTAAGGCCTTAAAAACATAACATACAAAGTGACACAGAGCTCTGTCAGATGTCTGCCTTCTCCTAGTCATTGTTTCTTCCAAATGAAGAGATCACCATTGAGCTGCCAGTTTTAAAAACCCACCTGGTCTTCTTCTCCACCTCCTTCTTCATCATAGTAATAAACATTGTCCCGGGTATCATCTTCTGGGGGCAGTAAAGGCTCTTTGACCACTGTTCTTCTCCGAAGAAACAGCAGGAGCAGCAGAATCAGGACTGGAGTGGGTCAGAGAGAGCACAAGAATGTTGGGAACCCCAGGCAAGGAAGGCCAGGAGAGGCAGTGATCACAGGGCACCCTTGCCTCGCACACCAGGCAGGTGCAGCTAGACAGCCACTGGCTACCTTAAAAACACTTGCAGACGTCAATACACAGGACACACACATCCCTGAAGTTAATATGTACAATACAACATAGTGGACCATGACATATAAATTCAAGCGTGGTTTAACTTTCGGATGGGTCCTAAAACCAGTCATGGCTGGGTGTGGTGGCTCATGCCTGTAATCCCAGCCTGAGCAACATGGTGAGATTCTGTCTCTACAATAAATAAGTAAAAAAAAAATTAGCCAGACATGGTGGCACATGCCTGTGGTCTCAGTTACTCAGGAGGCTGAGGCGGAGGGATCACTTGAGCCTAGCAGGTCGAGGCTGCGGTGGCTGTGAGCGTGCCACTACACTCCAGTCTGGGTGACAGAGTGAGACTCCAACTCAGAAAAACAAAACAAAACAAAAACTAGTCATGGTCATTTCCCCAAATCTGGGGGAAGTGTTCCAGAGGAAACAGTAAGGGCAAAAACCCTAAGACAGGAGCATGTTTGGTGTGACGGAGGGCAGTGGGGGAAGACAGCACTGCTGCAGCAGGTTGAGTGAGGGGGAAAGAAGTGGAGTAGAGGTCAGAGAGCTGGGAGGGCTGTGTGACCGCCACGGGGACTTGGCTTTGATTCTGAGGAGCTGGAGTCATTGAAGGCTTGTGAGCAGGGCTGCTGGGTCTGCCTGAGTGGGATGGATATGTGCGTCATATTGTTCATTAGTGCTGAGGATGATCAATGTAACGCCCCAGTCCAAGACTCACCAACAAGAAGACTGTGCACTTACTGCCCATGCGAGTCCTGTCTCTGCACAGGGGATACAGTGCCAAACAAGAATGCAAGTTGCAAACAATTCCCCACCTAAGCAGTTTAGAGCAAGAGGCAGCTCACAGTTTGCAAAAGGATGCTTTTTATTAGCTGTACCAACCCCTCAGCATCCCCAGTGTCTAACACAACGCCTGGCACAGAGTAAGCAACCAAATATTGGAGGAAACCTTGGAAGCCTTCAGCTCTCCTGGTGTCTCCCTGGAACATTTTTGGTCTTCAGAAACAAGAAGTTGCCAGGCTTGGTGGCTCAGCCTGTAATCCCGCGCCTTTGGGAGGCTGAGGTGAGTAGATTGCCTAAGCCCGTGGGTTCGAGACCCGCCTGGGCAGCGAGACCTCATCTCTACAATAAATCAAAAAATCAGCCGGGCGTGGTAGCACATGTCTGTAATTCTGGCTACTCGGAAGGCTGAGGCGGAAGGATCGCCGGAGCCCAGCAGATCGAGGCTGCGGTGGCCGGGAGTGGCCACTGCGCTCCAGTCTGGGCGACAGAGTGAGACTCCAACTCAAAAAGAAAATAAAAATAAAAAAAAAATAAAGGACTTTGACAGAACCTGCCAGTTGTCCCTAGCATCCTTTTTTCCCTTCATCTTTTTAGTCATTGACATCCACTGCTCTCCCTACACTCCCCCTCTATCTGCCCCGCCAAGTTTTACTTGGGTACGTGGTCACCAAGTTAGCAGCTGGGAGCAGCCCAGCTCCCTTGTAGCTAGATATGGCTGCGTTTGGGCCAACGGGATGTGACTGAAGCTGATACATGCAACTTCCAGATGTGTGGGCTCCACTTCCTCTATCATCCCTCCATGCCCTTTTCACAGCCCAGAATATAGAGGTAGGTGTCGGTGGTGAGCTGGCTAGCTTTGACCAGGCTGAGGAGGACAGCAACCCAAGGCCTTGCTTCTTCCGCATGTGGTCTTTGACATCAACATCAGCATCACCCGGGGGCAGGTTAGAAATGCAGAACCTAGCCGGGCTCGGCGGCTCAGCCTGTAATCCCGCGCCTTTGGGAGGCTGAGGTGAGCAGATTGCCTGAGCCCGCGGGTTCGAGACCTGCGTGGGCAGGCGAGACCTCATCTCTACAATAAATCAAAAAATCAGCCGGGCGTGGTAGCGCATGCCTGTAATTCTGGCCACTTGGAAGGCTGAGGCGGAAGGATCGCCGGAGCCCAGCAGGTCGAGGCTGCGGTGGCCGGGAGCGGCCACTGCACTCCAGTCTGGGCGACAGAGTGAGACTTCAACTCAAAAAAAAAAAAAAATACAGAACCTGAGGCCCTATGCCAGAACCTCCTGGGTCAGAATTCCCTTTTAACCAAGAAGCACAGGTCATTGTATGCTTGGGAAGCACTAACCTAAAGGATGAAAATAAACAAAATAGAAGGAACCTGGGTCCCCTGCTGACTTCATGGCATAGGGCGGCCTTCCAGTCTTGGGTTATTTACCTTTGAAATATTCCGCAAGAGACAAACTTCTATTTTACTTAGGCCACCATACTTGGGAGATGCTTATATCAGTTTAACAAATACTCCAACTAATATAAGAACAAAAGTCATTTCTAGAAAATTAACCCTTCCCCATTCTTTAAGTGAAAGGCTGAAACACTTGACAGACTTACTTAGCAAAGCAAGAATTCCTCCAAGAATCCCCAGAATGGCAGGAACTTCCAATCCCGCTTCGATATACTGCGCCTTCTTACAGATGGTGGCAGCTCCTTCACAGTCACACACATACACCTCTAAGGTGGTCACTTGGTCTTTGTTCTGATTATCCGTGAGCTTGAGATTGATTTTATAGTCACCCAACTCTAAAGTTTTCTTTGGCTTCAAAATGATAGACTCTTGGGCTGGGGAAAGCAACAAAAAGAAATGATGGGACCAGGGGAGAAAAAAAACCTCTTTTTAGAATCAAACTGTTAGTGAACTAAAGACATTCCAAAGCTGAGCGAAGAGAACAGAGCTGCTTGGATTTAGATGACAGGGCAGTATGTTACAAAGGTAGAAGTAGGAATGGAAGGAGTTTTGGTGGAAGGCCTCAAAAGTGGAAGGGACAAGGAGACAAATACCAAAGGAAAGGGTGGCATCTGGAAGTTGAGAAGAGCAATCCAGAAGTGGGAGGATGGAGTAAAGGAAGCATGGCAGTCAGAGCAAATTCCCAAAGTAAAGCTCAAGTACCCACCTGGGTCATTGTAATCAAAAGTCCAGTTGACACTTGCCCCGTGTGCTAGTTCTGCTGTGAAGGGAGAAGTATTTGGGGGAAGGTCTGGATCAATGATATTTATGACATGAGGCTGTGGGTTCCTCTGGCAGAACTCCAGACTTCGAGGTTCTGGTACAGGGCCATTGTCATTCACATCGGAGAGGATCAGAAGAAGCGTCCCTGTTCCAGTAGCGACAGGAGAACCTAAGAGAAAGTACAGAGGAAATGTCACAGCTCAGGAACGGTACTCAATCCCCACTGCCTTCCATCAGACCAAATCCAAACTGTGTCTTGGCTCTTCAGCTGTCCCTTACCAGGCCTCCCCACCCATGGAACCTTCTGTCCTACCACTCCCAAGGGTACATCCTCTCCCAGGTGGGTGGGCCTCTGACTGTCTTCAGTGGACAAACTTATTCCCCACTTGGGTAACAAGTTATCCCTACACCAAGGACTCCCTCCTCCTCCCTCACATAACTTTATTCATTCATTCAACTCAACTACTCCATGAAGTCCTTACTGCCTGCCTCCCTTACCACCCCATCACCACTTCTCCCTTTTCTGAACTTCTGTGCCATTTAAGGTCATTATCAAAAGGCTGAGCCTTTTTAAACAGTTGCAAGTTGCCTTTCAAAATACATTTGGAAGTTCACACACACACATCTGTTCACATTTCTTTTACATTTTGACATAGCACCAAGCATATGGTAGTAGCAAAAATAGGTACCCAAGGAACGGTCATCATTAGTATATGGTAGGAAAACATCAGAGGAATCTCCCTCAAACCTAGAAATAGTTATGGCTAGATGGTAAGACTGTGATTTTTTAAAATCTTTTTTTATCACGTGAATTTTCTTTTTTAACAAAGAGCACGTCATCTGAAATGAGCTTTAAAAATTTTTAGGTAACCTAGTAGATTTTCTGAATAAACTACATTCTCATCTCAGACCTTATATTGAAAGGCATATACAATTAAAGTAACACATGAAGGAATCACTTAGAATCATCAGTGTTTTTTTTTTGTACAGAAGAGGTCTTGTTATATTGCCTAGGCTGGTCTTGAACTCCTGAGCTCAAGTAATGCTCCCACCTTGGCTTCCCTAAATTACAGGTGTTAGCCTTTGCATCCGGCCCAGAATCACTCTAAAATTATTTAGGTCAGAAGATCAGCAGATTAAGGCCTTCTGACCAAATTAGAAACAACTATGCTCATTCCTTGACAGACTTTCTGTGACTGCCTCCAGGCTACAATAGCTACAGAGATTATATGGCCTACAGAACTTAAAATTTTTATTATCTGGTCCTTTACAGAATAAGTTTGCTGACCCTTCGTTTGGGTACCATTTACCTCAACTTACCCTACCTAGCTAGGCCAAGGAATTCGTATGCAGCCAGAGACAACTGGCCAGCACAGCACTTAGAGGCTGAAGCAATGGACTAACCTTCCCTCAATCCAAGGGTGCTCTGTAGATAGAGCCCAGGCTATGTATGACCTTACATGCTTGCCCCCTGCTTTCCAGACTGTCAGACTTGGAACAACTGCCTCAGGAGGGTGGATAGGGAAAGAGAGGGAAGAGGGTTGACCATGGGAAGCTAGCATGTCTCTTTGGAAGTGATTCTGCTTCTGAACATTTATCCAAGGGAGATACCTGTGAATAGAGACATGTTTACAAGGATGTTTGCATATCACTCATGGAAATGAATCATTGGAAACAACCTCAGTGTCCTCTAATATGTGAAGGTTTAAATTATGCTATATCCAGATAACATTATTATTAAAAAGAAATCTAGGCCAGGTGTGGTGGCTCACATGCCTGCTATCCCAGCATTTTAGGAGACCGAGGCAAGATGATCACTTGAGCCCAGAAGTTCAAGACCAGCCTGGATAACATAGCGAGACCTTGTCTCTACAAAATCAAAAATTAGCTGGGTGTGATGGCACACACATGTAATCCCAGCTACTCGAGAGGTTGAGGCAGAAGGATCACCTGAGCCCACAAAGTTGAGGGTGCAGTGAGCCGTGATCTTGCCATTGCACTCTAGCCTGGGCGACAGAGTGAGACCTCAACTCAGACAAAGAGATCTAGGCCAGGCGTGGTAGCTCATGCCTGTAATCCCAGCACCTTGGGAGGCAGAGGCTGGAGGACTGCCTGAGCCCAGGGGTTTGAGACCAGCCTGGACAACTTGGCGAGACCTCATCTCTACAGTAAATCAAAAAAATTAGCCAGGTGTAGTGGCACACACCTGTAGTTCCAGCTGCTTGGAAGGCTGAGGTGGAAGGGTCTCTCACCTGGGTGACAGAGTGAGACTCTGACTCAAAAAGAAGAAAACAAAAAGCTGGGTGTGGTAGTGTGCATCTGTGGTTCTGGGCTACTCAGAAGATGGAGGCTGAAGATCCTTCTGGAGCCCAGAAGGTCAACGCTGGCATGGCCACGAGCATGCATGCCATTGGACGCCAGCCTGGGCAAAGGAGTGAGATTCCAACTCAAAAAAAAAAAAGAGAGAGAGAGAGAGAGCTATAATGTGCCTTGGTAGAGAGCTCTGTGTCTTAAAGACATATTGTCAATTAAAAAAACAAAAATTACAGCCAGGCGCAGTGGCTCACACCTATAATCCCAGCAGTTTTGGAGGTCAAGTTGAGAGGATTGCCTGAGCCCGCGGGTTTGAGATCAGCCTGGGCAACTTGGCGAGACAGCATCTCTACAATAAATCAAAAAATTAGCTGGGCATGGTGGCGCGTGTCTGTAGTTACAGCTACTTGGAAGGCTGAGGCGGAAGGATGGCCGGAACCTAGCAGGTCGAGGCTATGGTGGCCGTGAGCGTGCCACTGCACTCCAGCCTGGGCAACAGAGTGAGACTTCAACTCGGAAAAAAAAACCCAAAACCAAACAAACAAAAGAATACATTTTAAAATAGTATGTTTAAAATATAAATTTTTATAATAAAATCAAATAAACAAGGCTTTAAATCAGACAGTAAAGAAATGTATTTAAATACACAGAAACAATCTGGAAGGACCCACACCTAACTGATGATGATGGTGATGGTAATAATGACGGTGATTAAAATAACAACGGACCGGGCTCGGTGGCTCAGCCTGTAATCCCGCGCCTTTGGAAGGCTGAGGTGAGTGGATTGCCTGAGCCTGTGGGTTCGAGATCCGCATGGGCAGCGAAACCTCATCTCTACAATAAATCAAAAAATTGGCCGGGCGTGGTAGCGCATGCCTGTAATTCCGGCTACTTGGAAGGCTGAGGCGGAGGGATCGCCAGAGCCCAGCAGGTCGAGGCTGCGGTGACCGGGAGCGACCATTGCACTCCAGTCTGGGCGACAGAGTGAGATTCCAACTCAAAAAAAAAAAAAAAAAGCAATGGAACATATATAGCAGGGACTATGTGGCAGGCATATTCTAGGCATGTTTCTATAAGTTAACTCATTTAATCCAGTCAGGGTACTATCACTTTGTCAGATAAAGGAATCAAAGGACATAAAAATCCAAGTTTGCATGAGTATTAAGCTTTGGACCCGGGATCTAAGCTTTTGGACCTGGTAGCCTTACTCCTGTGGGGAAGGAATAGAGAGGGAGTGATAAAAAGGTACTTCTGCTTGACCCAAATTATTTGCATTTCTGACAACAAGGATGCCTGTGTTTAAGGATAAAAGAACAAACTCAGGCCTCCAAAAGAAGTAGGGGAGAGGCAAGAAAGCGAGCTAGCCAGTTAGCCAGCTAGCCAGGAGAGTGGGCCACAGAGGCCAGGATGCTCGGCCCTACCGTTGTCTGTGGCTATGATGAGGGCGGTGTACGTGCTGTTCTTCACGTGCTCAAAGTCCTCTCTGTCCAGCTCAGCCCGAGTGGAAATGGCACCAGTGTCTGGATTAATCTCCAGCCAGTTGGCAGTGTCCCTCCAAATCCGGTACCTGAACAAGCACAAGCTCTAGCTTAGAACAGGATCAGCAAACAACATGTAGCTGGAGACGGCTATAGTTACTTCCAGTGTTTTTATTTTGAAAACCAGCAACCCAAAAGAAAAGTTACCAGAATAGTAGGATAGCCTTCCATGGACTCCTCCCCTAGACTCACCCATTGGTAATATTCTGTCACGTTTTCTTTCTTTCTCTATATATTCACACACTCACATACATAACTTCTTGTTTTGCTGAACCATTTTCAAATGAGTTGCAGACATCACGTTCCTTTACTCATAAATACTTCAGTGTGTTAACTCATAGGAACAAAGGCACTCTCTTATATAACCACAATTTGATTTTCAAGGTTAGAAAATACAACTTGATAGAATACTATTATTGGATATATGGTACATATTCAAATTGTCAATTTTTCAAAAAGTGTACTTTATAGCAATCCCACAACCTTCTAGATTCAGGATTCAATCCAGGATGATACATGCCATTGAGTTAGTATGTTTATTTATTTATTTATTTCTAGAGACAGAATCTTGCTCTGTCACCCAGAATGGAGTACAGTGGTGCGATTATAGCTCACTGCAACCTCGAACTCCTGAGCTCAAGTAATCCTCCTGCCTCAGGTTCTCAAGAAGCAGGGACTACATGTGCATACTACCACATTTGGCTAAATTGCCCAAGCTGGTCTCAAGCTCCTGGCTTCAAGTAATCCTTCCACTTAGGCCTCCCAAAGTGCTGGGATTACAGGCTGGTGTGTTTCTTAGTTTTCGCTAATTTGGAAGCATTTATTAGGCTTTCTTTTCTTTTTCAACACTGACATTGTGAAATGTGCAGGCCAGATGTTTTGTAGAATGCCTCTCAATTTGGGTTGGCCTAATTGTTACCTCAAAATTAGATTCAGGTTATCCATTGGGGATGGAGGGGAACACCCCAGGGGTGATGTTGTACCCTCCCCAGTGCTTTACATTGGGAGGCACATGATGTCTGCCTATTATTTTATTGGTGATGTTCACTTTGATCAGTAAGATTTCCTTACAGTAAAAGGAGACTTTCTTCCCTTTGTGATTAATCTACAATCTGCAGGGAAATAATTTGAGAATATCCTGTTCACCAAGTAACCCAATGGATTTAGCATCTATGGGTACTCCTTGCCTAAAGCAATGATCACTATGACCCTTATTTATTTTTAAAAGCAGATTCCTCCAGACCAGCTCCCGCAAACAAGTCAGTAGTTCTCAAATGGCGACAATATGCCACTTTTCTTCCTGTCATGAATATTTGGAGATTTAGGCTGACACATTAATTTGGGAGTGAGCTGTACTACTGGCATTAATGGGAGGTACCCAGGTGGCTAACAGAAATATACTGCACAATTATCTCTTAGGGTCATGGAAAGGCTGAGAGAGGGAGGCTAAGAAATTGAAGGAAGAGCTGAGCTCGGTGGCTCAGTCTGTAATCCCGTGCCTTTGGGAGGCTGAGGTGAGTGGATTGCCTGAGCCCGTGGGTTTGAGACCCGCCTGGGCAGCGAGACCTCATCTCTACAATAAATCAAAAAAATCAACCAGGCGTGGTAGCACATGCCTGTAATTCCGGTTACTTGGAAGGCTGAGGCGGAAGGATCGCCGGAGCCCAGCAGGTCAAGGCTGCGGTGGCCGGGAGCGGCCACTGCACTCCAGTCTGGGCGACAGAGTGAGACTTCAACTCAAAAAAAAAAAGAAATTGAAGGGAGAAAAGGCTCTGGGATGCCAGGGACTTAAGGTCACGTCATTGAAAGTGAGAGGGCAACCCCCTTGGGTCCCCTCCTACTGTGGGAGCTTTCCAGTCCTCTCAAAAAATCCTACTTTCTCAAATTAAAAAAAAAAAAAAAAAAATAGTGTGAAGCAATGAATTACATAATGTGGTCTTTGTTCCAGGGATAAGGGCCACTACAAATACTATTAAGACCTGGTACCAGCCGGGCTCAGTGGCTCAGCCTATAATCCCAGCACTTTGGGAAGCCGAGGCAAGTGGATTGTCTGAACTCACAGGTTCAAGACCAGTCCGGACAACTTGGCAAGACCTCTCTCTACAATAAATCAGAACTTAGCTGGGTGTGGTAGTGCACTCCTGTAGTTCTGGCTACTTGGAAGGCTGAGGCACAAGGATCACCAGAGCCCAGCAGGTTGATGCTGCAGTGGCTGAGAGGCATGCCACTGCCCTCCAGTCTGGGTGACAGAGAGAGACTCCAACTCAAAAAAAAAAAAAAAAAAAAAAAA